TTCATCGTATCTGAAATGAGGTACCGCAAAAACAAACAGTGTTCAGAGTGCCTTAACAATGAAACGACAAGAATGGCATATCGCACCGCAATCGCTCATGGGATATGTGCGTTGTTGCGACGGATGATATGTTCGAGTCAATGTTTGCTACAGTAGACTTGCTAACAGCACCACTCTTCCAGAGGCATTAACCCAAGAAATGTCTGATCTTACGGGAAAATACCTCCAAGCAGAAATTCCTCAATCTTGGATATTGTGATCAGAGACCCTGACAGGACCCTAAGCGTGAGTTCAGAAAATAGCCGGGACAGACTTGCCGTATCAAAAACCTGCTATGACATCGGAGTTCAGGCTTTCAGTTTGGGAAAACTCCCACACATATTTGTATTTTGCTGTATCGATGGATGGACAATTTTAAAAAAACGGGCTAGTTGTTTCCAGCGATTTATGATCGATCATATCTCCGAATGGAGGTCTACTTTTCGTACCTCCATCTTATGTCAAGGCTGCGTAAGGCTGTCGACTTGAATGGCCAGAATGTCGCAACGGGAAAGACAAGCCCACATGGATCAGGCATCTGCGATGAAGACAGAATCAGCCTGGTCCCCTCCTGTATTAAGCGGACCTCTGTCTGCTTTGCAACCCGTACAGCAATCAATGGCAATAATATTTGCAAAGTCACCCTCCAGTGATAGATGATCTATGTGATTGTGGTAACCTCAAAGCAGCAGATGCCTGGAGAGCCATTTAGACAAGAAAGGCATCTTAGTGCCTGACTTGATCTCGTAATTCAGGAATGTGCCTTAAGAATAGCATCTTACAGCCTTTGAGAAGTATTAGAGATGTAAAGGAATCATGTCCAAATCTTTGGGCTCGAGCCCAAATCTTTGGATCGGTGCTCAAATCGTTGAATTCGCGACCAAATTTTCGTATAATGTTCACAGCAAAGCCTATTGTTTTGGACTGATACCACACATTCGGGCCTGCAGTAGTAGACGTGAGATGCTCTGTACACCGAGATAAAACTCATGGGATTCCATCGGTGCGATTCAACAACCAGCTGTCAATGAGAAATTGAAGAACCCGGTGGTGGACTCGATGAAACAATTGGAAGTGGCGAAGACCACGCGTCGACCATGAGGGCGATGACCTGTCAGTCGATCCCGTTGGATGGATCAGTCTTCGCTCATCGAAGAGCGGATGTGAACCGTGAGCTCTTCCTTCATCAATAACATATTCCCAATCACGAAGGACTTCGGGCAAGGCGATACCGCGACCATAGCCAGTCATCGAGTAAGACGCGGACCACTTGCTCCGTGTATGTGCTCACACCTCGCGATCTGTCTATCGGCGCTTGTCGGTGCTCCACGAACAAAGACCGGGTTATAGTCCGCCTTCATCGTTCGATAATTTACACAAAGTCGGCACCTTGTGGAGTTGTTTGAAAACCGCCTCGGAACCGTGAGATCCGCGAGTTTATTTTTGCAAAAGGGGTTACCATGGTTTTGCAAAAGGGGTTACCTCGGTTTTGCAAATGAGTCAATTTGGTTTTGCAAAAGACACTTTAAAAAAAAAAAAAAAAAGCCGAGCCGTACAAACATTTCCAAGTCTAGAGTGGAGATACCGCTTGTATACATTCTACTTCCAAGTTTCAACAGAACGTGTTGGAAATTTCTGCCAGGTTTTTTTCTTGCTTTCATGGAGGCCACTTATACGTCACTATGCTAAGAACCGAAGAGTCGCAGCATCGGAATGAGTCACGCTCGCCTCCCCTTCACGTCAAGCGTCTTTCTGCCAGAGCTCGTTCAGATGTGTCCTGGCTCATCATGTATCGAGTGTATACTGATGGGCTCTTATCATCAACATTCCGGACTATCCCGATGTCAGTAGGCGTGATTGAGAGACTTGTGACGGCTACATGTCAGTGGTGTGTGCTGAGCCACACATTGAATGGGCATCGTGCAGAGATTCAATATCTATCGCGCGTGTCAGACTTGTGGAGATTTTTCTCTAATCTATCACCCCAATGATGCCTTTTTTGGCCGCCGATGGTCGTGCATTCCCGTCCGCGTGCGCCAAGCGGTCAAGATAGACCAAAAAATCAAGGAGGAAGAGGACATGAGAAGGACAGAAGAAGAGACGAGCCGTGCTTCGACAGCTGCCGACGGGGAAATGGTGTTTTTTATCTTGGTTTGTGTATGGGACGCTACATCTATCAATCAGTCCTAGCTTATAAGGTGCATTCGAGTCCTCTTTGAGGTATCACTACCTTCCGTCGTCAATTTCGCCAACAGCAGGCAAGTGCACAGCGTTGACTTTTGAAATTCAAAGGGTCTCAGGGTATATCTGGGCCGGAGCCCTGGCGCAACGACTAAGCACGAGGTCAGTAAAGCACAGAGCATGCGGACATGCAAGGGCATAGGCCCAGGGGTAGAGTCTTCCAACCTCTTTGCCGTCTTAACTTTGTCATCCAGGTCCAACATGACGAATAGGACGCGAGAGTAAGTAATAGACTGTTAAAAGGAATCAGTACGAGATGTCTTATCGTAAAGACCGGACACCGAGGAACGGTAACTAAGAAACCATCTTGTATCGCCACGAATCGCGAGCTGCAGGAACTAGCGTAAGAAGGAGTCTGCTTTGCGCATAGAAGGAGCTGACTGCCACTGAATAGCGTCAGCCTCTGCACATTAGCCTGTACAGCTCACAGGTTGTCTGCTCATCAAATATGAAAAGGCGAGTTGTTAGGGAGCTGTGTCTGCAGTCATCAGCAAATGCCAGCAATGAGCATCGTGATTTGGACATGTGTCATCACAGGCAATCGACGACTACAGGGAGCTAGCAGGGCGGGTATGCTGACGGCCCTAATCGAGTCGTCGGGGCCGAGGCTGAAGTCGTTCCGCCAAAGTGCTCGATTCGTGCTTACCCGACGGAGTTGATGCAGACACCAAGTCGCTTATGAGGCGTGCTTGCTGGAATGTAGTCCTCTTCATGGTACGACGGACCCATGCTGCACGAAATCCGGGTCCAGCACTCCGATCCCGATGACCAAGATGTTGCGCCACCAGATGTGCATTTGGTGTTTCGATGTTCAAAGCTCACGTTTCTTCTACGCTGGTCACCCACTGAGAAGGTGAATGGCGGTCTCGGTAAGCTTGTGAGATCAGCTTTCTTCAGGTCAACATTCGGAGCCAGATGGGCGAAGTCGGCACAACCACATGTAGTCCAGACTTCCCGCCTGCACTGCACTGCTGCCTGAGACCATGTGATGACTTGTACAATACCTCGTCGATGGTGTTTCCACAGGGCGAATCTGAAAAGGAAGAGGATGCCTCGGATACTGATTGCGGAACCACAGGTCTTCCGAGAGCACAGGCTGGGATGGATACGTCTCATACCTGCCTACAAGAAGGAACGAATCGAAAGCCTAAGACTGACAGTCGAGCGTTGAGGATGGAGGCCACCCAAATGGTTTTTAAGGTCACAGAGAATACTTGTTTCAGCTGCGTCTCAGACCCAATGCTTGGAGATTCCAGTATGTCCAGATGTGTATGGCATGATCAGTCATGTGAGTTGACGGCTGGAACGTGCAAAGTGACGCGAGATGCGATTCCACGGTGTTCAACTGAGCTAAGATCGCCTATCAGAGCCCAATCCATAACAATGCCGCTATGTGGAAGAACGCCCGTTCTCGAAGTCGGTGAAGAGTGTGCAGTGGAGTTGGCCAATCCCCAACACGGAATTGATACTGACTGGGGCTGTTAGCTCCGTCCACTTGGTATGTCAGAACTGGGTCAACTGCCGTAGAAAGGCCGTAGAAAGGCCGTCCGGCATCGCAGAGGCTCTTGATCGCGATACGTCGACGGCTTAGCTGATTACGCGACAGTGGCGCTAATGATGGCATCCCCCGCTGCGGAAGCGCGTGTAGTGCGAGACAGGCAACACGGGCTCGCCCTCTGTGTCCGCCATGGGATCTCCAGCGCAAAGGCGTACTCGCTAGTGGTTGATGACGACTGTGGCGGATTTCCCTTCCCTGCTGGAATTTTTCGTCAATGCGTGCTGAGCGGCAGGCGCGAATCTGACAAGATCCTTGGTGAAGCATATTCCATGCATTGGGCCCTCAAAGAGGCTGCGTTGTCACGCATGATGCGGGGGACGCCGGTCTACAATGTAAACACATCCCGTGGGTCATGTGAAAAAATTGGTTACCGAACTCTTGAAATCAATCTGGAGAACGGCCGACTCAGATCGTGGCGTTTTGTTATCCTTTTGTACTTCAGGTACATTTGTTCGCTGTCTACACCCCAAGTTGGGGCAGCAGTAGTCTCAAGCCGGCCAGCAAGCTGGACATGATTCTACGCACTCGGCGCGTTTACCGTAATTTGGACGCCACAAACGCGTGGTACCCTTTTTGATGTTTTCCAGTTCACATCGCGAGGCAGGAACGCCATGAAAAAAAATTAGCGTGTCGCCGACCATGACGATTTGTGTTCGCTGCTTCAGCGTGAACATCCCGACAATCGATACACCCGGTTTGGGTGCAGCGAAGCAGTGTGAACTCGAGCGTCACTGTGGTGGAAAGGACCAATGACCAGATCATCATACGGCCTCACAGTTGCTTATGGAACGAGTTATTCGCGCAGGGCGAGACCGGCTCCGTTATTCAAAAGATGAAACCAATCCAAGCGGCGCGAATTACACACGAGTGCGTTCGCTGTCTGCAACTGTGAGGTCCAAGAGGATGATCCTGCCATGCGAGAAGTTGCGCCGGTGTAGTAGTCGTGGGACTCGGCCACCCATCTAATGACTTGACTGGTGCCGAGTCTGCTGCGCGCGCGAGCCTCATCATCAGGTCGTCCACCCCACGCTGAATGATCTTTAACACCTAGCCCCGAGTTCAACGGAATGGAAATATACCGACAGTAATACCACAAAAACGTGCCGGCTCGTATGCATGGTATTGCTTTTCCGAAGTTCGCCGCGAGTTTTCGCGACGCTCAAAAAGCGCGGAGCACACCGCTTTGTCAAGAATTCCCGCTTTAGGAAGAATTACATTTTAGTCCCGCCCCATTGAATTTTCCCCCCTGTTTTTTTCGCTTCGTTCTGTAGTTACTCACTCTCTCTTCCACTCCACACTATGCCATGGAACATCGCGGGAATTCACCTACTCCATCCTTGGCCAGCACTCAGAGGGCACACCGATCGCATCGTACTCCCCCGGTGGCACCTGCCTCTCCAACAAGGTCTACTCGATCTGCCCTGACTACTAGCTTGGCGCTAGATACTTTGGCAGTTGGTCCCGAAGTCATCGCTCCGCAAGCCGGCGTCTTCGAGGGGCTAAAGTTTGTCGTCCTTAAGGAGTATTTCAAACCGGAAGATTATGAGGAGAGTATAGAGGGTATCAAGGTGAGAGATCGATCATTTAGGAGTGCAGACTGACACGAAGTAGCGACATGGCGGCCGCATCATTGACAGCAAGCATCCGACAAAACTTGACTATCTCCTCATTCCAACCCCCTCCCAGGACCCTTCCGACGATCCAGTCAGGCGCTTCAGACTGGTATACGCGCAAGACTATCCCCTTCTCGGCGACCTGCAGCGTGTGTCGACCGAGTGGACGAGAGACTGCGCCTATGTCGGCAGACTCAAGCCCTTGCCATCGGCTCAGGAGGCTTTGGGCATAACATATCCTGTAACCGACAATGAGCTCGGCCGACAGAGGTCCCAACTGGCTAGGAAAGATGTGGACCAAGTCGGACAAGTCTTGGAGGCGATGCACCGATTTACATGGCCCCCGGTGGCAGGGAGGAAGGCGTTTTATACTTGGTACAACGATCACGTGAGTGATGATCCTCACATAAGTCGATCCGAGACTAACCTTGCCGCAGTACAAGACAGATACAGGCATCAAGGTCATCAATCTGGTCACGACCTATCGTACCATGTTTGAGAACCTCTGTCCACCGTTCAAGGCATCGGCGGTGGCTGGTAGGCGAGTCCCACATATGAGGCCTCGCCGGAAAGACACGTCCGTTGAAGTGGAGGGATCTCTCGCTTCCAAAGTAGATCAGATCACCCCGCAGACGCCACTTCCCCTTCCATCGCCCACCCTTGACCATTCCCTACCGGATGTGCCGGCTGATGTTGTGCCTTCGGTATTGGAATCGGGGTCCAGCTCCGCTGAAAGCTCTTCCTCCTCACGCGTCTGCACACCTACCCCACAGCGACATTCCAGTCAGCCTCGAGACTTGTCGCTCTTGTCCTCTCGTTCAGAGAGACCGCCAGAGCCTTCCCTGACGGAGACGGAGAACAACGAAGCTGTGCCGGAAGACTTTGTGGATCTCGTGGCGCCGGTGAAGGGCAAGCGGAAGTTGTCAGACCCTGACGTCTTTGTCGACCCCTTGAAGAGACGATTGCCGGTGAGTGTATCTGTTTCCTGACACCCTTTGCTGATCCAGGTGTCACTCTTCCATCTCCGATGCTGCTCATCGTCCACTTTACACTCCTGTCACTCGGTGCTCTTCTCCATCTGGGGTTGTCGCACAGCCTGAGAGAAGGGTGAGTACAGGCCGTAGAAACGTCTAACGTCAATCAGATGGAGATCATTGGACTCCTCTCCGATACCAGTCCTGGAGCTGTCGATGGGGAACTTGAAACGCTTCGTTCCGTCATCAAGCATGTACATGAGACGACTAGCGCTGCTCCCTGTGGCTCCGTGGAACTTGAAACCATGATTTTGACGTGCCTCCGGACGCTGAGCGCGAGCGCTGCGACAGTCAATGACGTTACGAAGAAACACAAGTCAGCAGAATGTTCGTGATGACCCTTATTTATGTGGCGATGAGTCTGAAGTATCCGACAGCAGACACAATTACCTCTACTCGACCCCCAGGTGTGCCTCCGACTACGTTGATACTCTCCAGTCACATTTTCAGTGGCTTCGATGCCATGCTCCAAGATGGCATTGCGGATGTTCTGGCGTTTACCAGGGTTCTGGATGAATCCGATGAGCTATCGGTGAGTGGCGATGGGCTCGTCAGGTAATGTCAAAGCTGAGATCCCAGATCGATGCTTTGCGGACGCGTCCGCCCATTTTGGCTTTGTTGCGAGAGGAAGACTCTGATTTACGGGCTGTCTTTGTCGAGGTCGACTGGGGCGAGATCGTTTGCATCGATCTGGAAGCGTACACATCTCCGGAAGATGAGCAGGAGGCACATGATTATGACTTGGAAGTGAGTCAGGGGACGTGTGACCTGAACTTTACTAAACAGAGGTAGACTATGAAGCGTTTCCTGATGACGGCGTCCGCGTCTTTGAGTATGCCCTCGCCGGAGTTTGGCTCTAAGATTGTGGGAGTGAGTGCACCATCCATGATCGCAACGCTAATTGGTGCAAAAGCTCTGTAAATCTGGAAACCTAGCTTCCAGTTGTCTCCTCCTATTAGCATATACATACAGTCTCGTGCTGGGTCGCAATGAGTGGGCCGAGCAGGTGGGGAACATGGAAGTGAGAGAGGGAGATTTGTATGAGTGGGGCCTGGTGGTCGCAGACACTTTGAAGAATAGATAGGATAAGTGCATATTGCTCAGTCATATCAATGCCCTGTGGCAGACAAAGAACCGTGGTGATCGCTTTTACCCTCCAGGAAGGTGATTCTAGCTGGAGGCATGAGCCGCGTGTCTGAAAACGGGTGAGCGCCCTGCGCTGAGAGTCTACCTCCTATATGTGATTGCAAATTTTGACAAGACGCATAAAGCACAACGTAGGTGAGAGAGATAGAGTAGTGCACTGTCAGGCTCTTCAATCGAGAGGCCTTGACGACGTTCTTGGCAGCGCGGTCCCCCCGCCCGCTAGGACTCGAGTACTGCACAGTATCATTATATCGAATGCCTTGCCCCATGCAGACTAGGGCATGCCTTTGCTTGCTCTGATGGAGGAGAGATGTCGCAGCGTCAAAGCGAAGCAATATGACGACAGCGCCTAAGGATTCGTCTCAGGAGCGTTCAATGGTGGAGGGGCTCCAGCTTCAAGATTCCACGTGTATACGCCTGAGATGAGTGGGCTGTGTCTCGTGATTGTCGATTCGATACCGTAACGCTGTATTGAGCTGAGAGGCGAGCATATACACTTTACGACACGGCAGCATTATTATATAGGGTCTAGTTGGCCTTGAATGTACTACGAGCGGTTGCTGAGCATCCCCCCTTACGCTACGTTTTCGAGTACATAATACAGGTCAGGGCGACAAAGGAAGGAGCCAATTTGACGGCACTCGGGAAGATTATTTAGTCCTTGTCACGGACCGGCCAGTGGGATGTGAATGATATCGTGGGTAATTTGAGTAATTTCGTTGTCATCAGCGTCGTTGAAACGAATGAAAACATGCCTGCAAGGGAGGGCCGGCCTGCAACTGATCTCCAAGTGTGGAGAGGGGGGGGGGGGGGGTGTGTCTCACCTCTATTTCCTCCATGATGAACCTTCGGAAGCGTCTACTCCTGATTTGGCACTCTACCATTGATCACTCGTGGGATCAGCGGTGACTTGACGGTTAGTCCGAGAATGAACGCCGCGGAGACAACAATGTCGCGGCCGAAACCTCTAGTGATAGTGCCAATTGTAGTCCGTGCCCCCTTGGCCCTCGGCAATGCAAACCTCAGGCTGTAGCCTTAAGTCGTGAAGCGCTGTCAGAGTCAAGACTCGTCGGCAGAGAGTGAGAGCCTCTCGCTCGCATGCTTGGTCCCCGAGGAACCTGTCACTGATGTAGTATGTAGTGGTCCGGTCGATATGTAGATTTGAGGAAGGGGAGAAGAGGTCAAGGAGCCATTACCTGCCCGATCGACGATCGTGGACTTCCAGTCTGTGACCAGACCTCGGCGTTCAATCCATGCCAAAAATCGACAGTGCATGACCTGGAACCCTTTGCGGTGCGTACTGACTCGACCCGGCCCCTCTGTCCGAGCATGTCGTGGTACACTCTTGGATGCCTTTGGGAACAGTTTTTGATGGTCATTCGTGACCGGCTCAAGATGTTTCTGCTGTATCATGGGGCTAAGAACATTCTTAAGTGATGACATATGATTAGCATTCCCTTGACAAGGCCCATACCGTATTGGCCGGTCTCCAAATTGACCAACAAGCACCAGTTTTTGTTCATTGTGTTTTTTTTTTTTGGAAAAAACCTGATCATTATTTCTCGGTTAAATTTGGTCGGAACCGTGGTATTTGTTCACCGAGGTCTAGATGTTCCAAGCTGACGCAGGCATACCGTAACTTGAAATTGGCCGATCGACATACTGCACGATAGTCCATGAAGGGCCTGGAATTGGGTACCGTGGATAGGGGACGAGCAGACACCTCTACAGAGCGGTTGTTCTTGTGCCGCTACAAAAGACGTGTCAAGAACAGACCTATCCGGCTTGAGGGTCCTATTTGGAATAGTGACTTTACATTCTTGAATAGAGTGTCAAGCAGGGTAGCTCATAGACAACGAATATGCATATTGATGATGAACTACAAGATCAGCGTCCCGCCTTGTTCAGTCGAGCTCTGAGGGTCTCGGATCCGAAAACTTGGTTCCGCTCCCTGACAAGACGCTCCAAAAAAGACTCGCAATGGTCTGCTCTAAGACGATCAAAGATCCTACCGCATTTGTGAGGCTCCCGCCAATCATGATGCATTACTATATAGCCGCCAAACGTAGGTCTCTACACCATGGTCTCAAGCTGACGAATGCCGCCATAAGATTGCCTCAGAAGTATAACCCGGAACTCGGAGCGGGATGACTTCCGCACAAATGGCGAGGGCTTCAGAGTTGACGTCTGCTTGAATGCTTGTCGCTTGACCCATCAAGGCTACAGGCGCTGAGCCCTGACCTCTAAAGGTCGTGTCATTGTTCCGGCAGCTATTGTCAAGTGACTAGGTGATATCGCACCATCGAGGCGCATGGCATCGATTTACACACGCTCGAGGCAAGGCACGTAAGAACTGTGCGCACCCAAATATCGGGGTGTGCATTGACTGATGAACGGCTCGTGCTACTGACAGCAGGTTGGTCATCGGCAAGTGCCAAGTTTGGTTCCACGGCGAGGGAGGCTCGCTCTGAAGGTTGGCACCACCCGCGGCGGAGAAATCTTTTCCATTTTCCAAGGTGCCCCAACGATAAGTCTAACACAGCTTTGTTGCAGAACGCTGCCCTACTTCAGTCTTGTTACCAATACGTAGAGACGATATGTATCGCGATGGAAGACGAGACTTTTCGGACACCAAATGTACAGTAAATCTAAAGCGGACTCAGCGGTGATTTCGACAATTTCTGGAGCGCCGCTTAGTGCGTCCTTATTTGAAGCGAGGCGTCACGCACATGACAGCCTTACCGTCACGAATCCACTCTCTCGGCGTTGGTTCGTCAAGTCCCAGGCCATGCTGTATGAAGATTGGTTGATGAGACTGGGACATCGCAGGCTGTAGTGACGTCGGAGTCGTATCCACTGTAGCAAGAAGAAGGAGGGTCCGTTGCAGACACGGAAAGAGCCAGGCGCTTTTCAGGGTGGTCATGGTGTCATGGAGCTGAATAAGGATGCAGAGCGGTTGGTTGTGACTTGGAATCTTGTTGGCCGGTCTCCCTTTTTAGCCCCTTATAAGGCAGAGCCGGTCGCGCAAGGAGAGCCCCCCGGCGCGAGAAAAAATCACAAAGGCCACTCTGTCAGTCGGAACCCAAGTTTCCGTCAATCTCGTGGCCGGCCACCATTGATATAACCTTTTGTGGGCCGCATCGCAGCTGCTTGGTAGCAGTACTTTGAGTGGGTGTAGGATAAACACCGTTGCAACGCATGGCCGGTCACCTGTTGAGCTCAACTGAGAGAATACGGAGCTTTGCCGAACCCAGGCAGATGACTTGCGTAGATAACACGGAACGGCCGGCGGCTTGTCTGTACATCTTGAAACACCCATGGCGAGGCGCCAGTAGCTTTTCCAATACATTAACATGCTGCATGGTGATCTTGCAGAGCGGCCGCCCATGTACATCGTTGCCCGGGTCGAAATCTTTTGCACAAATTTATATTTTTCGTATGACCGATGAAATTCAAGCTCGGACTCGAACTGCATGCAGTATCGGCCTGAAGCGGGCAAAGTGATGCTAGTGAGCCACACACAGCTCAGCTGCGTACATTAGAACGGATCATGAGGTGGCCCCAGGTCCCCAAGCCCGTTCAGACGTGGGGATCGGCTCGAATGCTATGCATTGAGTACCACGGGAAGGAGCCTAGCGCCTGAATGCTATGTCAGACCTCGTGTGTAGCAGGCGACTTGCTTCTGAAAGCGTTGTTTGTAGCCGGCGAAAAGGATACGCTCTCTGATCGGCATATCAACTGCGTCTATATTGTCAAGAGTGAGTTACCTCCGGTGGGACGCTGGGGTCGGCCGCCGTCTAGCACTGCAAATCGGAAGCAGCGCCACCTGACATTCAACAGACACACGGTCAATGTGATGTGAGGCAAGACGAGAAATATAAGCGAGTCTTTGCGCTCAAGGGACTGGTCATATCATGAGAACATATCGGTAACACACATTTTCAATGGTGGAGGTTTTAAATGCATTCTACCGGCGGCGAATTACGAGCTATTATGCAGATAGAGTGTGGCGGAAAGAGATTGGCAAATTTGGTCATTTTTTCTGCATTCTACTGCATTTGACGTATGCCGCGAAAAACTGACGAATTTTCTCGTCATCTGCATTCTATAGCGCCGAATGTATGCGTACCCTCCAACTTCGTGAAACTCTGTTTACTCTCGATCTCTTTTGACAAATCCGCATGGATTGACTTTCCGCCAATCGAGGCGCTGCTGCGTTGTGGCCTTTGGCCATTTCTTTGCGAGGGACAGATACTCCTTGACACAGCCCACCTCATCTTCCGTCAAGTCCGAGCCCTCCTCGTCGCCTTTCTCCTCCAGCAGATTGTCAAAGTACTCGAACGGGAGGTTTTGGAAGAAGCCACTGCCCATGTGCCAGCGCTGTCCGGGTCCAGCTTTCCGGTACCCAGCATCTGATCGTCGTCAACGTCTCTGCAGGGTGATGACACCACTCACCAATGATCAGCTTGTCGAGGCGTCTCGTTTCACGCTTGATTTTGGCGAAGCGGGAGGACGGCGTTTCATGTCGGATGATGTCTTTGATGGCGTTGTTGTAGTGAAACATCTTGTCTTCAGCTCCACAATATGCGATACGATGACTCACGGCAGAGGCCTCTCTGCTATTCTTTTCTTTGCTCTCAGCTCGGCGTTTGGAGTCTGGAGCTGGCTCGAAGAGATCACGCGGAGCGGTGCGAGGGGCTAGGTGTCGATTGTGGTCCAGGGAAGCCAGCTGGATCGTCAGTAGAGGGCTCAAGCCGGTGCTTACCGCTTGGCGGGGGTTCTGGATATACTATGATGTGTCAGTGGAGTAGGAGGACCGGGCAGCGTACCTCATCGGCCCTAGTGATGCAAAAGTCGGCAAAGGCCTGTTTGGAGGCTTGGTTGTATGGGCCGTGTCGATGTTCGAAATCACGAATGAGGGGGGCGACCGTCTGCATTGTTGGAGGGGGATGTGTGTGGTAGAATGTTGATAGAATGCATTGGAGGGAGAGTTACATTGTTTGTTTGTTTTGACGATATACCGGGATGCTCCGCGATTGGCAATATGGCGAAAGGAATGCGTGATTTTTGCGAGAGAAAAATCGCGCAATCTGGTATCCGGGGGTGAAAAGTATGCAAACGGTCTCGACCCACACTCTATGACATGTACGTTTGACGGAACCAACTCCCCGTTCCACGTCGCTCGTCCCCAACGCCATCTCTCCATTGCATTCTTCACCGAGCATGATCCCATCTACCTCGTGGACCGATGAGGATTGGCGCGTGTACATGGACACCCTTCCCTTTGACAAGATCACCACGAAGAACCCACCCTTGAAGACGCTCAAGTCGGTACTGCCCTCGCCTGATACTGTCCCCGATGATCCTCATCCCGTCGCTGCCCTTGACGCGTCCCATCCGGAGGACATTCTTCTGCAGCCCGAGAATATGGCCGTGTTCAAGTGCGCGTATCTTCCGCATTCCCTTGACACCTGGGGCTGTGCACCGAAGGAGGAGGAGGATGTATGGCCGGCTTATGGCTATACGTGAGTGCTTTTAGAGGATCGAAGCTCACATCCACAGACACCCTGGCGTCCGTTGCCGCAATGTCGGAGCTGCGTGTACGGTCATTGTCCGGATCCAAGCCGTCGATCATAGTCCTTGGTCCAGTATCGTCCTCGATCCGTGTTGGCATTGCGAGGTGAAGGGTCAAGCTTGCTCCGTGGCCAAGTCGGCGTTGTTCAAGGGTGGAGAAGTGAGTGGACAGGAGGTGATGCTTACTGACGTGACAGTATCACCCGGCGCAAGCGCCGAGGCCGAGGCGAGAGCCAAAACGACGTCGCATGGAGGTGTATAATGTATGCAAAGAGGTGTGGTTAAGGCTGACGCTAGACAGGCCGGTGGACCATCCGGCAGCGTCGAACCAGACGGTGAGCATGAGGTCGTCTATCCGAGTTGACGCGTTCAGAAGCGAATAGACCTACTACCAATCTGCCATCTATCCCTGAAGGCAGCGAGGAGCCTGGTACGCCGAGCCTTGCAGACACGCCTATCCCACTACGTTCCTCTGTCACCGACATTTACAAGTCTCTCCACCTTTTGTCGACCTTTATGCACGATCAGCTGGATCGACCAAGCTCTGAACGCTCCACTACCTTTGACGCGATCCTCCAGGATTGGAGACGGTCCTATACTGGGCAGGATCTGGTACGTGATCTTGCAGAAGCGCGGGCGGAAGTGAAAGGGCTGGAAGACAAGGTAGTCAAGACCGAATGCGATCTCGCGGCGGCTCGTGTCCAGATCGAAGAGCTGGAAAGAAGGAACGGGGTGTATAGGCGGCAAGTACAGGTGGTCAGAGAGGCCGTAGGGGAGGACATCTTGAACTGAGGGGTCACGGCATGGCGACGACCTGTAGGTGTGGTGTTACGATGCATGGCTTCTTCCTTGAGGGGGGTATCGGTAGTGCCCACGACTCGCACGACAGAGTTTGGTTCGACCTTGAGACGAAGTGTTATGTGTTGGGCCACACTCTGTCTCTGGTAGAGCTCCACATCCGCCGTGAGCGAGCCAAGTACCGGGTGGAGCTCTGATGCAGACTGCAGGTGTACGTAGACACTGTTCCGGAAGGCGTTATGCTCTGCGGGCACAGTCTATCCGGAAGCTAGGCTGGATCTCAATGGGGTTCACCAAGATCGGATGACGGCCGCCATTCGAACCGACTGACGACAGGTCGGAAACATCAGCAATGTTTGACAGTGTCTTGGTGACCGTCAGGCGAGCGGAGGTGTGTGGGGGGAGAAAAAACGGGTGGCTCTGACAGCATTGCTCAGGTGCGTGCTGCGCCTGTAGAGGAGCTTATCAGGTTAGTATAATTGGCATTCGATCGGCTTTCAGCCAGAGAGGCGATCCGTCATACCTAGACATGGTGGTGAGCGCGGTCGAATGTGTGAACGGCGACGTTGCAGGTGCCTGACCCGATAGACTGAGGCTCTGTCGAGCGGCACGCAGTCGTTGTTTTGAGTCGTGATCAATGGCGACTTTGGACAAAGTTTTGTCTGGCTGGTCCGCTGGAGGCATCGACGAAGTGTCGCCGGTAACATCGAGAAAACAGCAGACTGCCCAGCATTCGTCTGAATCGCAAGACCAGAGAGGAAGGGGCGACGTCGGCACATGGGGTCTATCCGTGGATTAGCTGCATCTCATTGTAGCCACGACGGAGCTATGCATCGTGATGCATGGAATGCTCGGGTTGTTAGACAAAACGGAAGGTGTAAATTATTCACAGCCGAGCCGGTTCCGACATTTGCTCTGATGAGTGATGGTGACCGGCAAGATCGTTGATTGGCAAGATGCTGACATGGACAAGAGATCGATTCACGGTCTAATGCTCCGACCAGCTTGCAGCTTGTCATGCATGTTAGCCGGCCACGTAGGTGCTCCACGGATTTCGCGTCCCCAATACCGGAAACCGGGTGCACTGCCAACACACGGGTCGTCGTTCGTCGTGCGTTGAGGAACGGTCGGCGGTGACCTCCGCTTGCCGAGCCGTTACCCGAGTATAAGAGTAGGACTCATGGAGATAGAGCTTTCTTCTTCATCAATATGTATATTTGTTGTGTATGAGCTACCCAGCTTGACATCCCTATTCAGAGAGTTACTATCCAAGTGGGACTCTCGAGCCGGATAGGTCTGTTCTTGACAATTGAACATGAGCAAGGAGGCAGCCTCATGGCTGTAGACAAGGTCGTACGGTCGCGGGTCACGCGATGGCATGCTCGGCACGGTTGCTTCATCACCTAAGCGGGGGACGAGAGTGCTGAGACTGAACTAGACGTCGGCGTACAGATCATCGTCTTATCACCCGGAGCTATATGAAGTCACCCCGGTCAGTTCATCCAGGGATGCAAAAAAGAACGGGAGCGGGGGTTTATCCTGATTGACATGCTCAGGGCCATTCTTCGGAGGGAGGGCGTGGCAGCGTATCGTGGTGATCGAGCCGTGCTTGGGCGTCGGACATTTGGGTAGAACGTAAGCACGTTGACATGGGCACTTTACCGTGGCAGATGATACGGCGTGTCAGGGTAGGAAACCACGTGCGGAGGTCCCTTTGGCGCCAGGCAGCCGCTGCATTTGTGGTCGCTTTGTGTATTAAAGAATCAACAATTGGATGTCTTTGTGGCCGGCCGTGCAGTATTGACTGTTTGGGGTGGATTTAAACAGTTATGATAACGTTTTGCATTGCCCCTGAGTTGTTTTTAAATCCTCACCGCGAGCGGCCGGCCTGCGGTACTCTGTGAAGCAAATGTATGCTTTGTAGTCACGTGTCGTCGTTGACCTGTCGCACGTGGTTGTGCTCAACTCAGCGATCCATGACCGGCCATGGGCTTGTGATGGCTTTGGTCAACGTCATGCAGAAAAGAAGACTGACGCAATACGTGCGAGGTATTCTGCGCTCTAAAGTTCATTGGCCGCCCTGCAACTGTAGATGGATGCAGGAACTGGTCGATAGTCGAGCTCAGGCACTTTCGACACCTAGTCATGCTCGGCGTTATTCGGCCTCTTGGCTCCTGGCAATTGGCAATCGGCGAGAGACGCCACGGCTCTCCACGTGGCACGTCTTTCCCCAGCGTAAATTAAAAGTTTTTCCCCCTCTCCTCTCCCAATGTTCTCTTTTTGCCGCTGCACTCACCATGGCGTCATACCAGGCCGGCGTCCTCACCATCCGGCCAGATGGCACCACGGGTCCTCTGCCTGCGAGATTCCTTGTCGACGTTGGGTCAAGCGATGACGACCCCGGCTCGGTCAAACGCTATCGTGGTTATGTCGCCAAGGCGCAGCCTGGTCTCTTTCAGTCCCGGTCCCCTTACGACTTTGTCACTCGCTACTGTGGTCCAGAGATATTTGCTCAGCGTGTGACCGCCGACAGGAGGACCCCGCACGTCTCGCCCATGCCCTTTTCCCGAACTACCACGGATCTGACAGGTCCCGCGGCGAGACGGTTCATGGCTACGTTTCCCAAAGGGGTGCAGCTGGTGCCGGATCAGAGCATGACGGGGGATTTGGCACGCGAGCTGGAGGGGTTGACGGATGCTGGTCTGGGGAGGGAGACATATGAAGATCACAGTCGAGGTTTTTTACCGCATATGGCCGCCCAGCATCAGACGTATAACGAGTTGCACCGGGTGCATGAGACGGAGGAGATCTTTTACGAGGGAGATCAGACGGGTGCGTTGCGGACTGGACCTTTGGCGATGGCCAATCGGACGATCAAGTATCTGACGCCGGGTTTGGTGATCTGGTCACACGCCAACCAGGGGCAAAACATTGTCTCGGATCTTCAAACGTGGTCCAACGCACTGTGGACGGCGGGGACCACTGGGACGGGCGCGTTGCTCGAGGCCAAGCGTCTAGATGGGCTCACGTCGAAGCATGTCAGAGCGGGATGGGCGCTGATACGGGACTCGTTGACGCCGTGTCGCCTGGTGATCGAGGAGGTGGACGTGGCAGAGGGTGGGAAGCGATACATCTCAAAGGTGGTCAATGAGGAGCGGACTTTGGACGTGCACCACTCGGTCAGGAAGGCGTGGCTTCAGGTGAGGGTTGGGGGCGTTGGGATAAGGACTGACTGTGATAAGGCGTTTCTGCAGTGTCATGCGAGCCAGAGGCGGTATGCCATTGTTCACAACTGGGACGTCACGCAGCTCATGGAATTGGTGAAGAAGGACCAAGTTCGTCTGTCGCATGCAGTGGAGAGGGATGTCGGAGCGCATCAGAGTGCTTTTACGTTTATGACTGCGCTTGTGGTGTTGGCATTGAAGGAGTGGGAGGTGAGTGGGAGGGGTCCGGGGTAGAGCTAATGGATAGGTGCCGGAAGGGGGGTTCTTGGGATCGATGCGGGGGGCCTTGACGGCGCGCGTGGCGGAGCAGGGCGGAGCGGCGGGGCAGGGTGGAGCAGCGGAGCAGGGTGGAGTGTCGGAGCAGGGCGGAGCGCTGGGGGAGAATCAGGGGGGAGCGGACTCTCAAGGATCGTTAGAGCTCCCAGAACACTCGGACGCTCCACGATCATCAGACTCTCCCGGATCCTCGGATGCTGGACCCTCAGACCCTCCCTTGTCCTCGGATGCCGGACCCTCAGACCTTTGGCATCGACGGGCGGCACGGAATCCTGGGAAGCCGGCCGTCCTAAAGCAGGTCCATACCGGAATGGTTCCACAGCCGATGCCGAGGTTCCAGTCGCTTTGCCCGGATATCAACGGTGGACTCTCGCTATCCCTTTCGCGGGTCGCCGATCAGCCCGGCGCACTGGTCGTGTGCCAACAAATCGGGCTCGGTTTCACGTGGAAGGTGTTTGATGGGGTGCTTGCTGTCGCGCCGAGACCTTCAAGAAAGCGCAGGTCGAACGAATCCATCATGACGAGTTCCTCTGGGCCGTCTCCGAGGACTCCACACTTTGGCACACCCACGGAGCAGGTAGCTGTAGCCGTCAAGGTGTTTGATCTGGCGGACAAGATGGTGGATGTCATTCAGGATGATCCGAATCGTATGGAGCAACTGGAGGCGATGGCGATGTTGGAGGTTACAATGTATACTGGTAAGCTGAGGGCACTGCAGGGGAGCGTGGTGCCCAGGTGCTTTGGGGCGTGGAGAGATACGCATGGCAGGATCTTCTTGTTGCTGGAGAAGCTCAGGCCGTTGCAAGCGGAGCAACTGTCTGATTTGCCACAATCGATGAAGTGAGTGGTGGTCTTGACGGGGACGCTGACACGGTCAAGAACGCAAGTGTATGACCTCTTTCGACAGGTCCACGCCGCAGGTGTTTGCGTGGGCGAGGTGGACGTGCGACATGTCATGGCGGTGTCTGATACGCAGGAGCTGCGGTTGATTGATTTTGACCGGTCGTCGTCGGGGGAGGCTGCCAGGATCGAGGATGAGATGAGGGTCGTGCAAAGGGAGCTGGGCTGGGAGTTATGACCGAACGTCGGCCCGCTGGACGGGTGAATGTATGTTTATGACGATGCGGTGGTGTGGTTTGCAGTGGGGGATAGAGGGCAATGCTTGCTTCGGGATATTCGGCCATTTTTGTTTG